TCCAACCTAAACGATCCTGTGATTCTGTGACCCTTTCTGCAAGGGATCTCTGGCACCGCAGCGTCAGCAGCAGGAACAGTTGTTTATAACTTTGGGTGCAGCTTTGCGGAAATGCCTACCCCGTGCTACCTACCATAAACACATGTAAGGCTATCGGCAACGTTGTCTCCATGGGTTGTCTGGCCCAGGTGTGGGATGGAGAAGCGCGCCTTTCACTGTCACACTGTAAACTCTCACGGGTGTCTGTGACCATTTCATTTTGTTGAGGCCTGGCCAAGGCTTGCCACGCCAAGGACTAAGCAGCTTGTTTTGGACATGCACTTGCCAACGGAAGGCTTGGCCTTTCCAGATGGCTTTGTGCATATCAGTGGCTTAAATGATGGATGTTGTACCCTTCCACAAATAAGGTCTGTAGATTTATACATGTATGATTTAGGAAACACACCTTTGGCTATATGAAAAAACTGTGCAACGGCTGCCTGGCTAGCTGCATGCGTCTGTCTGCTGTGCTGAGGCAGACAACAAGCCCCGGAAAGCCCCTGTGGGAAGTCTGCAGGTGGGCTGGTCACCCCACAAACCTGCCAGCGCTGTATCCATCAGACTGGCAGGGGTTTAAGTCAGGCAGCTGGGGAGGGGCTTGCTGTTACACAGATGGGAGCAGTCTTGTGAATCCAATGCTACAGCTTTACAAGCAGTCTCTGATTTAAATGCTTATAGAAATGTTGATTGGAGGGACCCCCTGAATGGTGATGGCTTTGTCTGGGTGGTCTTGAAAAACCTCCAAGGACATCACTTCCACAGCCTTTCTGCCAACCTGTTCTGATTGTGCACTGCTGCCCTACTGAAAAAATAGTTTCCTAATGTGCATCCTGAACTTCCCCAACTCACAGACATTCCCTCCTGTTATGTTATTTGCCCCTACTGAGAAATACTTTGTTCCCATTGCAGCTACCCATCAAGTAGTTTTAGGAATTTCTTGGAATTGCTGCAGTTTCTTTGGACTGAAGGTTATCCAGTGTGAACAACAGGCTTTTGTGTTGTTTTGGGGGGGGGGGTTGGGGGGTTTTTTTTTTTCCTTTGCATCTTAATATTCCATTTCTTGGAGTGCTAAAAGGATTTGCATGTGGAATTTCATACATACGGGAAAGCTTATTGACCATAGTCCAATAGACTCATTTGGCACAATTTTGAGATTGGTTGGAGTGAAAGATCTTAATTTACTTTTGCATGGCAGCCTTTTTTGGAGAAGTGGCAAACCATAGCTTCTCTGGCCAGCGTTGCTCCTGCTGTTTCTAGCCAAGCAGTGGAGCAGACTGGAGTCTCTGAGGAGTACAGTCAGTGAGCGGTATTCAAATTAACTTCTGGTGGACGTCCTCGCACCATGGGGAGGCTCTTAACAACACCGTGTAGATGCATTGTCCCTCCAAGCTGTGGGGCTCCAGGGTTCGTTTTGCTGTCAGTTCTGAAATACCTGCCAATATTGCCCATCATGGCTTACATGGATTCAAAACCAGTCCAGGGTAATTCCAGCTGGTAGCCATTGCGTTAGTTGTCAACAAGTTGCTTTCTCCTTTATGTGAATGTGATGAACCACCCAACTGCTGCTAGTCATGGGCACTGCTGTGCAACGCTGACCAAGTCTGTGGGCTTAGTAATTCACTTTTATTATGCATTAGAAGAGCTACAGTGCAGATTTATAGGACCATGTTGTGAGCTCGCTTAGGGAGAAACACTGAAGTCTTGAACATAGAATCACAGGATGGTTTGGGTTGGAAGGGACCTTAAAGACCATCTAGTTCCAACCCCCCTGCCCTGGGCAGGGGCACCTTCCACTAGACCAGGTTGCTCAAAGCCTCATTGAACACTTCCAGGGATGGGGCATCCACAGCTTCTCTGGGCAACCTGTTCCAGTGCCTCACCACCCTCTCCGTGAAGAATTTCTTCCTGATATCTAATCTAAACCTCCCCATTTTCAATTTAAACCCATTACCCCTTGTCCTGTCACTACAGGCCCTGGTAAAAAGTCCCCCCCAGCTTCCTTGTAGCCCCTTCAGGTACTGGAAGGCTGCAATGAGGTCTCCCCGGAGCCTTCTCTTCCCCGCGCTGAACAAGCCCAACTCTCTCAGCCTGTCCCCATAGCAGAGGTGCTCCAGCCCTCTGAGCATCTTTGTGGCCTCCTCTGGGCTCACTCCAACCGGTCTCTATCCTTCTGATGTTGAGGGCTCCACAGCTGGATGCAGCACTCCAGGTGGGGTCTCAGCAGAGCTCCCCTTTATTGTCTGGTGCAAAGGAAAACGTGGTAAATCAGACAGGGCACCCACACACCTCTCCATGTGTGGGGCTGTACCCAAAACGGAATGCTGCAGGCTTGAGGGTGCAGACACTGGATGGCTTTGTTTTTAAGTTCCTTACCTTCCCTGGTAAATTGAGTACCAGTGACAAGGGAGATATTTCAGACCACAACAGAGATTGTTACCCTGTTGATTTGAGACCAGGCTGCCTTTTTTTTTCTTTTTTTTTTTTTTTTTTTGGCTTTCTAGGTGGAATTTAAGATGTGAGCTGCAAAGCAGAGAGCAACTCTGGCTGTGATTACCTCTGTGAGTGCCTTTCCCTCCTCCGGCGGTCACAGTCAGCCGAGGAAAAGCAAAAGCTGTCAGGTCCCTGCAGAAAGAGAGAGAAATTAGTGCTGGCAGAGTCTGTACGTGACAACTTATCTGCTGCGAAGTCTGAGTCCCCAGTTCCTGCTGGTGTGATCTGTTAACATAACATGCCTGAAATGTTTTCTTACATTCTTACAGTTTTTTCTGAGATGTGCAAAATGAAAAATGTGGGGATATTTACTCCAGTACCACTGGAATTGTGGCAGGCTAGTTTTCTTTATGTTCACAATCTATGCCATCGATTGTGCTGTTGTGCTATAATATATGAATTGGCCACAGAAACACTTCTGTATTTATGTCAAGATCTGTGTGCTTATGCTTGAAAATTTTTAATGGGTTCATAGGTGCTGAGTAAATAAGTGAAAGAAAAAGTCCCTTAAAAAAAAAAAAGTTAAGTTAGAGGAGGTCTTTTAGCAAGTGTGTTCGTTAGACTTAGTGCTATCAATATTAGCGCTGAGAACGCCTTAAAGCTTTTTTTTTTTTAATATTTAGCTCTTTTTAATTCTTCTCGTAGGTCAGTTAAAATGTTCTTCTTAGCTTCAGTCATGTGTTCTTTTTGGCACTTGTGTTAAGTCCTGCTTTACCTGGATGGCAGGTAACATAAAAGAATGAGTGCTTTAAAAAGTCACACGGCCATGCCAACTGGATCTTGGTCACGTTAATTCCCCGGTTGATTGTAAGGAAGTGCACTGAATCCTTATTTTTCTCCCTGTGGTAAGCAGAGTTCTTCAGATAGTAATAGCGACAGGTAAGCAGAGTATGTAGTCTGGTTTCATTAACGTTTTCCAGGATTAATATTAAGTAGATCTCAGATCAACGGTTCTGTGTATTCCTTATCAGACTTTTAATTACTGCAAGTATATGATTGTTCCATTTCAAGGTATTTAACTCTCTATTTACTACTTGGATACTATTCTTGTCCTCTTCCTTGCCACATCCTCTTCTGTCTTCAGTCCCCACTTTCTTCTCAGCTGTCTAAATACAGTTGCATCCAAGTTGGACTGAGTGACGCAGATGATTGCGTGTGTGTTTAAAGGCCATTTAAAACCCAAAAAGATTAATTGAATTTAGTCCCTGAAGCAAGTGGTTTTTTTTTTTTTTATTTAAAACACAAAACCAGCCAGATAGTTATTAGAGATTACAGACACAGAAATAAAAATGTACCTGATTAGGATTTTCTGTGTAAATACCAGTAGTCCCCAATTCTGGTATTTCACCTTTGGGATTCGTTTAAATTTGCAGCCAGAGAGGTACTCTCTGATCTGATGGGGCTATTTTTGTGAATATCTACCCAATCCTTGTTGCTGTTGATTAAATAAAAGCATATAGATGGTTACACTTAGAGCCTTGTATTTAAAAGCAAACTGTGGGGCTAAACAAAGAATCCATCACCAGTTTTCTCTCGAGAACCATATTTTCCACCAATATTCTTTTTTCCCTAAGTGGCTTGAAGACAGAATTAAGAATTTTATAGAAATGGTCTTTGAAGTCCTACATAATGCATTGCTGATTTACAGGCAGCCAGATCTAAACATGTGAGTGTGTAGTCATTACAGGGCTGTATTTTAATTAGATTTTATTATGCTTTGGGTTTTTTCCCCATTAATTCTCAGGTTGTTTTCACATTACACTAATCATTCTAATTACACATGTGTAATTTGCCGTTTGGTGCATATTAAATCCTCTTCAGCTGCATTTCAAGCACTGATGCTGAATTCTGGTTCTGAACTGATGGTTTAAAAGACGGTTCATTCTTGACCAGAAGCGTTACATTTCCTGCAAAGTTTGTTTCCTTCAGGCAGCACTGAGCAGATTTGAAAAAGGTGATTATTCATCTCACACGTGTGATCCACGTCACTTATTACAGCTGCGGTGGGGGATGGCGGCATGTCCAGGTCGTGGCTTTGCTCAACCTGTCACAGACTGGTGAAGGGAAGAGGTTAGAGATGTCACTCATGTAAGCGCTTCCGCACCTATCTCTGTCTCACTGCAAAACTGAAAGGTGATTTCGTATGGATTCCTGTTCCAGAATTGTGTGTCAAAACCAGGAGAGAGTTTTCCTTTTGGATTTACCTGTAGAAACACCCTCACACATGGTTCTGTGGTTTGCCACTGCCTTGTTTTGTATGGCTGAAGCAACCGTTCCGTGGACTATTGTATGGACAGCGTCCTTCTCAGAGACCAAGTTTGGAAACCAAGTAGCTGTAGAAATACCATTTCGTTTATTCCCTTTTTACTGATGGGTTTAATGTCGTTCGTACAGGAGAGGTTGTTGAGAGCAGCAGTAGTGACACTTGCACAGGAGTAACAGAAAGCAGGACCTGATACGGCTGGAAGTATTTTCTCTGGGATGTTTATAATAAAGGTGGTCCTGGCTGCATGGTGAGAGGAGGAATGTCTCCTTCTCTGGGGACTGTGGATCAGTAGGTGGTGGGAGAAGGGGGATCAGGACCTTTCTGTCGGTGAGCCATGAGAGGAGAAGGGGGATCAGGACCGTTCTCTCGGTAAACCATGGCTGGAGGCAGCTTGGAGCTGTGCAGAGCTGTGTGGATGCCCTTGCCTGGTGTAGCAGGAGCATGTCTATCACATCAGGCAGGTTTAACAGCAGAGAGGGGAACCGGGGTCTGCAGCCTCCCTGCTCCCTCCCACAGCTCCATCTCTGCCTGCAGAAGTCTCTGGGTTGGAGTGAAGTCCAGTTTTAATTGCTTACCCAGCCATGGATTCAGTGTGCAGCCTTGCCCAAATTTCTCAGATCTCGGAGCGTACTCCCCCTTTGCCAAGATGGGACTAACCAGACGGAGCAAACTGCTTTGAAATGCAGGTATGGAACTGCTGTGGGAGCGTGCCAAGCAGCATTACTGCAGCCCAAGTGACCTTTCGGTCTGAAACTTTGCCAGAGGGAGGAGAAAGGAAGCCACCGTTGAACCGCATGCTGCACAGAGATCTTGCCAACAGATGGTGTTTGCATATAGGATATGCTGGTCGGGTCGGGTGCAGCTTTACTACAACGCTCTCCATTTTTACTAATTCCAGGCGGGCTAAACTCCGGCTATATTTGGAACAGCTGAAACAGCTTGTGCCTCTCGGGCCGGACAGCACCAGACACACCACTCTAAGTCTGTTGAAAAGAGCTAAGATGCATATCAAGGTAAAAATATTCACCCGTATTTTTATTTCTTTTAAAGCAGAATCTTCCAGAATGTGTATCCATAGAGGGGAAACTAATTTTCACATAAAATCCCTATCCATATGTCCATCCTCTGGATACATTGGCCTTCATTAGATGTAGGTGTTTCAGTCACAGCATCGAGGTTTTGTGTTTTGCAATTTGCCCTGCAGTCTCGGATATGTAAAATGGTGATTTTGTGATTTCTGCTTAGTTACTAGTGGTTTACCTTGTATTTTGTAAAAGAAATGTCTTTATCAAAGCTGTTCTTTGATTAATATATTTATTTTCTAAGGACTGAGCAAAGTAGCATTTTACTGCATTGGTTTCAGTGTAAAAAGCCAGATCTGTTCATGATCAAAAAAAAAAAAACCAAAACACGGAGTCAAAGGGTTCATAGCTACTAGTAAGTCTTAACCCCATCCCACGTCTTCATGACCAGATCCTGGAGCAGGATTTTAGAAGAAATTTATTCTATTTTATTCAATTCATTCATTTATTTATTTATTTAATTTATTCTATTTATTCTAATTTATTCTATTAATTTTAGAAGAAATTTTAGCAGTCATTTAGAAGAAATAAAAAATGAAATGCAATCTCCTGTTGCTACTCCCGTGCATATTTCATGGTCAGAATGACTGTAAACCAAAAAACAACCTAAAATCTCACCTGGGATCCAGCAGCAGCGCAGGTTACATACATTTGCATGGGTAATTCAAAGAGAATTATTCCTCAGGCCTCCTCTCTCCAAAGACACCTTCACCCCCATTCTCACTGTCGTGGTTTTCAGGGGAACAGGGTAGTATGCGCAAATAAGACAATGAGGTACTCAGATGTAGAAGTTAGAAGAACAGGATTCTGTTGCTGTGTCCAGGACTGTAATTTTTTCAGTGTTACAGCGAAACAGGTCAAGAAAAATGTCAGGAGAGGTTGAACACTGCCAGTAATCTTGGAATATTTTGGCGAACAGCCTGCTCTTGTACAGCATTAAGATTCACTGCAGTTGCAGAAGTGGGTGTAATTCACATGAAGAATTAAAGATAAACAAAACCATTCTTGTTCACAAGTTCACTGAGCTCCTTTTTCAGCTCTTGTAAGCACATTTACTCCAGATGGGCAACCCCTGTTTTTACCACTGGAGATTTTGGCCTCTTGTTTATAATTCAGGCTAACATGCGTGAAAGGCACCACATGTGGTTTTTGTCTTGGGCTGCCCCCCCCCCATCGTGGGCTTATGCATACAAATTGAAAACCTTTTTTTTTACAAGTGGCGAGTGGGAGAGATTAGCCCTGTAGTGACCATCTTGACTGCTGATAAAAAAGCCAGGAAGAGGTTCTTTCCAAGTCCATTTTGCACGGTCCCGAGTACTCGTTTTCTGAAAACTGAACCTGAAATTTAGCTTGCTTTTTCCTCGAACCTGCCCCAACTGGGTTGCCACTTAATTGCTTCTCTTCGTCAGGTCAGCTACCTCCCTGCTGCACTGCCAGAGCGTGCCAAAGCCTTTCTGCCATTCCTGATAACAGCCATCAGTTCTGAACTTTTCACACGGACACGTACTGAAACTTGCCCTGGAAGACTGTTTTGAGTCTCCTGGACATGAATCACTGAGTTCATTCCTAAAATAGTTGTTAAGAGTTCGGGATTGCAGCCAGGAAAATACAGGAAAAGGAAATCTGAACAAATGGGGCACATTGGGTTTGTTGTGTACATGGATGTACCAACCCCTTTTTTTACTATAACGCTGTGTGTCCACATGGGATGCCTATGTACATAGCGGGTTGCCTGGGAGGGGGCTTCACGCAAGGCTGCAGACGTTACAGATTTCATGCAGCCAGGAAACGGCCTGGTTCAATACTGTCAGTTTTTCAAAGGTAAATACCTGTGCTTCCAAGCTTGCATCGGACCAGCAAAATCTCCAAAATGGTTTTGCTTGTGGCTTGCTGTGCACTGTCCCACGCCGCTCTCCTCGGAAAACCGAGCAGAGGTTCAGCCAGACAGTAGGGAGGAATCGTCTGCAGCGGCACTCGCTCCCTGCGCATCTCCTTTAGGAGATCTCACTGGGCCTGGGAACACAGCTCACAGAGAAG